GTTTTTGGCTGTTGTTGCTTAGCAACCAGAAGCTGTTTGTTGTGGGCTTTGATTATACTGCCCATGTTTCTTGAGCAGCTATAGCTGACTTTGACATTGTTCTTGTTAAAGAGCTTATGTAAAATGTTGCCGCTCGGGAAATGCTTTTTGACCAGGTTAAGGAATGATTTTCCGATGTTGGTTTTCACTCCTTTGCTGAATGGTGGGTTGTACCAGATTATTTGTCTGCTTCTATTTTTCTTTGAAGATTTTGGTTGTGGAGGCTGGTATTCCATTTTGTACTGGAATCTGCTGTTTTGTAGAGCTTGTTCGTAGTCAGAGGCAGCCTGATGGAATGATTCACTGGAATCAGATATATTGGATATGCGTCTGTTAATAGATGCGGGAATTTGTTTCAGGATAGATGGGGGATGGTTGGATTTGCTGTTGACGTAGAGTAGTGTTTCAGGATAGATGGGGGATGGTTGGATTTGCTGTTGACGTAGAGTAGTTGGTTGTTTGGTTTGCTGTAAGGCTTGAAGGACCCATTTTTTAGGCTGAGTGTGACATCGAGGAAGTTGGTGGTGTGCATGTTCCCTGTATGGTGATGCGGAGGTCGAATGCGTGGAAGATAGATATAATATTTTTCCTCATTTTATCGCATTGTCTTGGTGATGAACTGTTCATGACGGCGAGGCCATCATCTCGGTAGAGACCGACGTTGGTTTTGCTGAGTATTGGGATGAGGGAGGAGAGGACGAAGGATCCGTCAAGTTCGCATATTTCGGCCCCGTCGAAGCTTCCCATTGTAACATCAAACATGTCATCCGAGTTTTTCTTGGTCCATGTTGAATCGTTACCAAACAATATTGATTTTCGGGAGTGCATGATGATATTCGCTAAGTAAAAGAGAATAGAGACAAAATTAAAAACGAAGTAGAGACAATCTATAAAAGAAAAAAGAAGGTAAATGATGTACAAATCTGTCTCTTATACACATCTAGATGTGTATAAGAGACAGTATACTTAATGATGAAATCACCTACTAAAATACACAAAATATACATTACATCATAAAATGTTAAAATATAAAGGTAAAAATTATTGTAAAAGTTAACTTGGTAAAAATGGGATAAAAGAGGTCTGAAAATTCCAAGCAAAAAGGCATAAAAGCAATAATGATGTGTGTGGTGTTTCTTTTTCTGATACAGATTTAAGGTTCAATGTAATTTTGGTTTCTCCTCCTGTAGCACTTTGAGCGCTACTGCAGTGGATACAGTATGTGCGCTTTATAGATCTGATAATTATTCATTATTATTATTTTATGCTGAACAATGCAGTGCACTCTTTGGAAAAAGTGATTACCTCTTGGTGTCTCCACTATGAGCACAATCAATTTAGACAAGGCTGTAATGATTAATTATATTGGTCATTATTGTTGTTATTACTGTTGTTACTATAATCATTGTTTTAATATTATTAATACAGTTACAGTAAGTGATCATTCAGAATAATAACATTACACTGGCCCAGCCCCCCCCCCCCTTAAATTTTTCAATTTAAGGGAGAATGTGCCCCTTCCAACTATCTAGAGGTACCATAATTGTAAATTTTATTATTTTAGCCATAACCATGGTGGGGCTGAGGTGGTATAGACCCTCCATCTGTCCTGGGCCCCTCTATTTCAAATTCCTTGATCCGCCACTGCATTATTTCATCTCGGTTTACTTTTATGTCATATACAGTAATTAGTTTTCATGTGTTCTGACATTGAGTATCATTTTGTAGGTCCTATCGTTTCTGGACTAACACCACTACATTGCTGTCTACATGCTAAGGGTACTTATGATGAACAGCGAGAAACGGCATTGTGCTTGATAAAATATGGTGCCTCAGTCTACAAGAAAGATGATGTAATGTATAGAAAAAAGAAATGATTCAGAAGGATTAGTTAATGTCTTTATTACAATAATACAAACATTCCTAATAACCAAAACCAACCTAATACATAAGAGCATTGATTTCCATTCTATACGAATGAATTCCATCAATTATTCTTGAACCAATAAATATTGTGATACTGATAGTGTTGGTCATTCCTTTGAATTATTATTTTCACCATTATCATTTATAAATCTTCAAAGCTAAAATATTTCCCTTTGTTGTGCTGATGTAATGTGCAGCTGCCATCCAGTGAAATATACTATAATTTTTCATATGATCTTGTTATTACAGAAAGGGAGTACACCTCTTGATAATTATAATCGTAATGAATGTATTAAATATGAAGTATCAACAAGGAAGGAAAAGAAAGATGAACTTAAAAAATTGCTTATAGGTAAGTTATCTGTTGTACGTTAAATACTCCTGAACCTCATTGGCAAAAATCACAGAGCTTGCCTTATTTGGAAGAACCATGTCGTAAGCCTCAGATAGCTTTCTAGACATGGCTATACCTTAAGTACTAATAGCTAGTTGGGTGCAACTTCAGTGGACGCCTTCTGGGTCCTAACCCCAGCCCCTTTTTTAGGATGCCTTTTTTAAAGTGGAAGAAATATGGTAAATATTTAATTAGTCAATCATGTCAATTTTACTGTAAATTTCAATTAATTTTAACCAAGTATTGCAATATTAATGGAAACTCAATATTTTAAACTGTATTTTATTATGATTTTTATGCTTGAAATCAAGCAATGGCACAACAGTGTATCCTAAATAATCCAAAACAATTGTATGACAGTAATCGCTCCTGCAAGATGCTGGAAATACCACCTCGTACTTCTAGAGAAAAAAGATTTCTGATGTTTTGGACTCAGCCCCTGCCCCCTTGTTAATATCTCTGGATCTCCCATGTATATCCCATTGCAAGTGTACACTGTCCACAAAACTTGTCACTGAAAGAAACAGTAAAAACAAAGTTACACCTATTACATGCACTCGATGGATGCGATCCATGCATAGAGGCTTTTCTGCATGGATGTGCCATAAAAGTCCAACTATTATAATTTATTTTTACAGCATTACGGTTATTTCAGTAGTCTGGCTGTAGCATAGACCTAGTAGAAACATTGATCAAATTATCTGCATTCTTCACAACAACAATGAATCAAAAGTAAAATGAATAGAAAAATAAAGTAAACAAAAATTTTTAAAAATCAACTTCACTTAACATTTTGAAAATTTGAGGCAAAAAATACTACAAAATTAAAAAGGGTAATGTACAATGTAAGTAAAAAATTATCAATCATTGTTATCTGGAGGTCGTGTCAAAGGGCAAAAATCAATCCTGTGATATGCATATGGTTCATAAGAATACTATACATTTGTACTCTTATATTTCAGTTCCTTTATTATTCTTATAGCTTTTTATTTTAATGTTATTTTCTGTTTGACCTGTTTATGCTCTAGAAGTAGTTAAGTCTCTCAGTGTTTCAACACCTTGATATAAATTTACATATTTTGCTGTGTTATTTTCAGAAATCAGTTTTTACAGTGATGGTATTTTTTTTGAACAAAATAATCACAGTATGTTTAATGTAAACTATAAAATGGATGGAAGAAATATGTAGCATAAGAATACTACTGTAGTAAACTAAATAATATTTGTTATATTTTATATCCATAAGAGCTATCAGTTCCAGGAGAAATATTAGCGAGAGGTCCTGAAGCCATTAAAGCATTCACATATGAAGTCCAGAATGGGGAAATTATGATGGTTAATTCCAGAGTCATGTTCCTTGGGAAAGAAGGGGTGGGCAAAACGAGTTGTGTCCGTTCCATGCTTGGCAAAGTGTAAGTACAAAATAAGGCCTTGTTTTTTAGGTAATTGTACGGTCTTTTGTCTTGCATTATTACAACATTCTTATAGTATATAGGTTCATATAGGTTCATTACTCTCCTAGGCGACTGACTATCCAGGATTTTTTTTGCAATTGTTTAAAGAATTTTAAAAGGGCATTTCTGCCCATTGGCTCTTGATATAACTCTAATTTTAAAAGGCTTTAATTTTCTACTTATTATGCATTATATACAATTCTACACCACACACACACAACACATCAATATAGCACAGTACATATGACACCATTTTGTTACTGAGTGCCTCCAGAGCTTGTTGCACTCTATTATGGCTAGTCTATTTCGTGAATACTTACCTGGATAACCGACTAATTGCCATTGTTCCCAAAACGGAACACCCCTTCGAAAAAAAAATGGAACAGTCCGACCCAAGGCGCCACGTGCGAACCGTCTCCCTAACAAACGTCCTCATTCCCTTTTCGACGTTGTTCGAAGTTGGATACACCCAGCCTTTGAAATTACTAGCAGTCTTTTCAAGCTATTCTGTTCTTATTTTGCCTTGGAATTATTTTCAACTTGACAAGATATCCTTTGTTTATTGTAGTCTCGATCGGCATGTCCGCTCGCAAGTCTTTGTGCTCGGCGTGTGGGGGCCCTAAACCGAGTGTTAAGCTCGACCGGCACTCGGAGTGGCCGTTGTGTCGCTCGTGTAGCAAGGCTGAGCCTTGCGAGATTTGTGCGCGCTGGCCCCCGACTAAGTTTGCGGTGGCTCTAGATTGGGCAGCTCAGGCTGCCACTCGATCTCAGGGTTCGCTGCCGGCTGCGTCGGGGGTTGTTGCGGCGCAAGATGACTCGCCTCCACCGCTGGAGGATTCGTCAGCTTCGCGTTCGGCGGGTCCTTCCCCTCCGCTGGATCCGGCGTTGGTTTCGTTGATTTCGGAGCAGGTGGGCCGGGTGGCTCGGGAGGTTTTCGCCGGAATGCGGGCCGCTTCGGCGGTCCCGGATCCTCCGGTTTCTGCCCCTCCTGTCCCTGGGGATGGGTTCCGGGTGACCGGCGAGTCGCCTATGGACGACTCGTCCGAGCATCTTGAGTCGGAATCTGAGGACATTGTCCTCGGCTCCGATCTCTCTCAGCTCGTGGCCCGGGCGATGCCGCCCATCCTTGATCATTTGGGGGTCTCTTATGAGACTCCGTGCCGAGGTGGTTTGGGGGCGGGTCTGTGGGGACCACCGGCTCCTGCGCGTCCCGCCCACCCTGTCCCGGTTGTAGGACTTCACCGGACCTCATCCTTCGCCTGAATTCCCAAGCGAAATCCAAGCCGGTTGCCGCGCCGCGGCGTCTTATGGCTGCTTTTCCGGTCCCCGAGAACCAGTTCAAGCAATTCATTCAGGCGCCGCCCATTCCTCGCGCTGCCAAGGGCAGACTGGGGGAGGATCAGAAGCTTTCTTCTACTTCTAAGGCTTTGTTTTCTAACAAAGCTCAGGGCGCGGCTGAGGAGGCTTTGGCCTTTGTGGACCGCGCGGCTCGGGAGGGCATTCGCGCCGTGAATGGGGCGGGGTTTGCTTTGTCCTTCTTGTCTGACGCTGACGCTAACCTAACTCTCGTCCCGGACGCCATTGGCCTCCTTCGGGCGGGCATTGGCCTTATTTTGGACCAGTTTAGTTCCATCGCCCAGGCTGCCGGCGCGGCCCGGAGGGCTAATGTGCTCCGGGCGACGACGGTCAGCCCCGGTCATTTTGACCAGTTTTTAGATTTTAAAAGGGCATTTCTGCCCATTGGCTCTTGATATAACTCTAATTTTAAAAGGCTTTAATTTTCTACTTATTATGCATTATATACAATTCTACACCACACACACACAACACATCAATATAGCACAGTACATATGACACCATTTTGTTACTGAGTGCCTCCAGAGCTTGTTGCACTTTATTATTGCTATTTCAACTGTTATTGAAAAACTAATTTAATGTTCTATATAAAACTAATGTAAGGATGAGAACATGGCGTATACAGTATTAATTATCCTATGTGTATTTGATTGTGAATATAGGCTTACAATGCAAAACTAAGGCTATATTGTAAATTTTTGATAGTTTAACATGCTATGTACACTGATGTCATAAAATACTTCAATTTACTTTATTATTATATTTATCTAAATGTGAATAGATTTTACAACAATGAACCATCAACAGATGGTATTGTAACAACAACAGTATTTCAAACGGTTAATGGAGATTGCAGCGAATGGAAGGAACAGAAGGATGTGGATGGTATGAATATTATACTTCCTTTTAAAATATCAATAATTTAATTTACAATTTAACTGTCTAAATATTATAAATTGTTATTTTTATAAATTATTTTTATAACCTCTTTTTTGCAAAGAGAAGGAACAGAAGGATGCGGATTGTATGAATATTCTACTTTATTACAAATAATAATAAGTACAAATAATTTAATTTACAATTTGTTAGTTTTAAAATTATTTAATTTTTTCTTGAAAACTTTTCAATATTGTACAGTTTGTGAACTAAGCAAGCAGATACGTGAGCACGCCATCGCAGAAAATCTCGCCAAAAAGCTGAAACAGCCAAAAAGCCAACAAAACACAACTAATTCTGCATCATCTAGTTCTACAGCCTCTTCATCGGTAAATTTGTTTTTATTGTAATTGCAAAAATTACTTTAATTAATTTAGTTGATGTTCTTTTACATTTTTAATATGTATTTTTTTTTAGCTCTCTGCCTAATAAGAAAAACGTTATCTGAAAAACTGGTTTAAATATCTGCATAAATTTGAACTGATATAGATTATTAGTCATTCTTAAATGTTTAATACAGAAGCCATCAGAAGCAACTAGAAGTGCAAGCTATACCAGACTCCCAGAAGGAATTCATGAGAAACTTGTTGCTAAACTTGCTGTACCTGGCACTTTCCATCCTCCCACCCTATTTGGCCAACGACGTCGAAGATCCAGATTTGGTACAACAGCAGATGTACCTAGCAGAAATCCTAATCAACAACACAAAGAGAGTTTTATACCAAGTGATGTCGCATGCATTTGGGACTATGCCGGTCAACTGACCTATTATATATCTCACAGGGTGAGTAATAAATTCTTCTGAAAGCTACATTTCAAAATTATTGGATGTTTTCTTTTGATTTGACATGTGACTTTGGTGAGTAGCTAAGTAGTGACCATCAGGGGCGGATCCAGAGGGGGGGGGGTGGAGGGGGTGCACAACATATTCAGAATAGATAATTGAGTAGAACTAATTTCAATATAAGCATTGAAAATTTAAAATTTAGTGGAAAAAAGGGGGGAATGTTCCTCCGTGTCCCTTACTGGATCCGCCCCAGCCCATTTTCCTTGGTCATAAATCTTTAAATTCACCGTTATTTTTCTTGTAGAACTCCAAACTCTATATGAGAATTAGTTTAATTATCACAATATTGAATTTATTTAAAAAATCTTTGAAATATCATCTAAATTTCAGGCCTTAACTGGAAGGTCAACATCTATATCCCTGCTTCTCAACCTTTTTTAGGGGGCGACCCACTAAATCTATGCTAGTATAATTTGATATCTATGCTATAACAGTTTTCTCTTAATTATTCTGTTAATAAAGATATTTGGACTGTGCAGTCTGCTGCTGTATTGTTAGTCAACCACGGCTAACAAATTTGGCAAAGTGCTTGTGATAATTGTTCAGTTTTTACCAAACACAGTCCACGAGGCATATTGTCATTAGTCATGTGCAGAATGTTCCATTTTGTAGTAGGAATATTTTTTGAGACACTCGTTATTTGAAATGTTTAAAATTTAAATAAAACAATATAGTTTAGCGAGGTTGACTTTTTAGCTTGTGCCATCCCCGCGCAAAAACAGGCACACGGCGTGTGTATCTTTTAATTATTATGTCCTTTGTAGGACTGGTATGTTGAAGTACAGTATCTGACACTTTGAAAGCTTTATGAAAGTCAGTCTTTTTTATCAGGGGCAGTTTCGCAACCATCAGATATGTTTTGGCGACCCGACCCATAGGTTGAGAAGCAGGGCTCTATATGACTCAAATAGAACAATAAACATTACTTTTTTATGCTTGTCAGAGTACTTGTATATAGTAATTATTTTAAAATCTCTTGTTAAGTGACTTAACAATAATAAAATCAGTTTTTCAGTGGTCAGTTTTAACAATAATGAGTTAAATATTTTGAGGTTTACAATTTTGTCTTTCTTTCCAGTTTTTCTTGACAGATGGATCATCTTACTGTGTTGTGTTTAGTGTGTTAGATGATTTGGATGCTCTAGCAAACCCAAGAGATTTCTTACAAGTAAATACACCACTTTTAGTCTTTACTGCAGGTGTTTAACCTTACAGTTATTAGTTTTATTGCATCAATTAATCTCATACCATTTTGAAAATTATGTGGCTATTGTTTACCTTTTTAGGGACAATTTGAAATGACAAATCTTCAGATGAATGTATTTTGGATGCGGTCGATATACGAACATGCTGTACTACCCTATCCTGGAAGGACACGGAAGTTGATCAATGGCATATCATCACCCACGATTAGTTTAGTTGCCACACATAAAGACAAACTATTGGGGAATGAGTCAGAAAAGGACAAGTTGGTGAGGCATTGTCTGTTTCATAATGGAATTATAGTATTTATTTTTTCTCTAATTCTTAAATAAATTTACTTATGTATTTTCAATTTTGTTCACAGATCACAACCAAGTTCAAAAGAATATTTGATGAAGTCAAAGGAACACCATTTGAAAGGCATGTAGATCGTGAGATGTATGTTGTAGATAACACTGTGCGTATGGATAAAGGGATTGAGAAATTGAAGAAGAATATCGGAGGATATATGAAGGCAACGGCTAAACCTATTCCCACTACCTGGGTGGATTTCCAGTCAAAAGTACAAGACGTTGGAAAAACAAGACTTCGTGTTTCCTTAGATGAGGTAATATGCTTCCTTATAATATTTATAACTCAATAATATTTTATGAATATGATTAAAATTACACAAGTTAGATCCACAAGTCCAACACTACCCATCACATAAATTCTATTCCTCTTGCTTCCCAATCTGTGATTTTATGAAAATTGATTACTTTAAGTGGTTCCTTTAGATGAGCCATTCAAATTTATAGTTTTAATTTTTCAATTTAAATCAAATTTAATGATTGTATCTGCAAAGTTACCATCACATTGGTTTATTGTGTCCTTTGTGCTTATTTATATTTCTTGCATTCATTTGTTTAATGAATGGAATTCTCTTCTCATTCAACATTTAAGGTTGCAGAAATTGCATCTGAATGTGGAATTTCCAAAACAACGCTCAACACTGTCCTCGATTATCTAAACGACACTGGAATAATTCTGTACTCTAAGACTAATGAGAAGTTAAAGTACACGGTTATTACGAACTTACGCATGATGATCGATCTCTTGACAAAAATCATCACAGTAGTGAAACCAGATGATATTGACAAGGCAAGCAATATAACAATCTCATATAAATTTTATTTTTTATGTTGCTTAATGAGGAGTCACATGCATCTTATTGTTCATATTTTCTTGTAGTTGCCTACACTGATGCATTTATGGAATAAACTCGACAGTGAGGGAATTCTACAAGAAAAGTTGCTACGTCATTTGTGGAGACGCGAGATAAAGAAAGATGCCAGCAGCTTTGAGGTATTTCTTGAACTGCTGAAGATGTTTGGGTTACTGTTTGAGAAGCAAAAGGTAAGCTGTTACTTATGGTTTAGCACAAGAAACTCTTTCATAATATATGTGTTTGTGCACTTTCTGTACATTAATTATTACTTTTATATTCAATTCAATTTTATTATATTTCACATACCATCAAGGGACAATTATCCACTAAGGATAACATTCACAGATACACACACCAAAAATATTTTGAAATATATACAGTATAAATATGAATTTATTTCTTATGGGCAAGGTTAAAAGGAGAAGGCGAATAGACAAATGAAATTGTCGGTTGTTGAAAAGCTTTTCTGCTGCACTAACATGCCTTCTGTGTAGTGGTTCCTTCTGTTACCTGTAATTTTCAAATCTTTTTGAGATTCCTAATATGCTACATCAATGCTCATGTTTTCAAAGGGATCTCAGCCTGGTAACCGAATGTTCCTGGTTCCCACTCGGATGCAAATCAATAAAGAGGGCTTGGAAGTTAAGGAAGATGAGCAGCAAATGATATCGATTTATGTGACTCCTATCGACTTCCTACCGGATGCTGTCTACAATTTGCTGGTGGTTTCGTTTTTAGACTTGATGAATGACAAAGGTAGGAGTGGTAATAATGTGGAATTGTTTCGGAATCGTAGTGATTTTGACTTAGATGATGATCATGTGGTGAGTCTAGGAGCAGTCGAAATCAAGAACAGACATGCATTGAAGGTGAGATGCTGATGCTCAATGTTAAAGAGATGTGTATAAGAGACAGTTGTAGGACTGGTATGTTGAAGTACAGTATTTGACACAATTAAGTTCTTGAAAGCTTTATGAAAGTCTGCCTTTTTTTCTCAGGTGCAATTTGGAAACCATCAAATATGTTTTGGCGACCCTGTATATATATGTATGTATATATATATATGTATATATATATATATGTATATATATGTATGTATATATATGTATATATATATATATGTATATATATGTATATATATATGTATGTATATATATGTATGTATATATGTATATATATATATATGTATATATATATGTATGTGTTTAAATAACTTTTATTGGGATTAAGGACCTATCTCAAGTTACCCATTGACCAATAAATTATCCTGTATGCTGAATTTTCATAAACAGATTGAAATATCACAAAGGATAAGAGTTGATGAACATGGCAAAGAAGAAACTCTCGAACCACATTCTAGCATCTGCATGGAGGTAATTTTCTATAAGAAAATTCTGTTAATTAGTAATTAAAAAAATAGAAATTAAGAAGGTTATAAAAAATTTTTACTATAATTTACTTCAATAGAAATTATCTTAAACAGCGTTTGTTGTAACATTGCCTTCGATGACTTAATTAATTTGAATTGGAATCACCAAAGATATGAAAAGCAGTCCATATGTAAATATTTACAACTTGTTTTATTTTACAGCTCTATACATTTTGCTCAATTGAAAGTCCATCCATCTCTAACTGATCCTGTTGTCCAAGTTACATTTCTTAAATCCTAACTAAGTTCTCCCCCTAAGTTTAGTATCCTCTTAATTAAATGGATTCTTAACTACAGTAACATTTTAAGATTGATGTGTCATCTCTTCCTGTCTCACAGTATAGGAATTTTCCTATGCTTTCATGAATTGTCCAACTGGGGTACGAGTTGGTCAAAAACATCTATTTGGCAGTGGCATAACTAGGTTGTGAGGGGCCGTGGTTCAAGAGTACAGTTGGGCCCTTCGCGCATGCAAGTTGACTATGTCAACTAAATGTGTACCACTGTTGGATTTGTTTTTGGAGCAGGAGTCCTTCTGATTTTTATTATAATTTGACAATAAATCTTTTTTAATTTTTAGATGTTCTCAGAGGGCATCTTTGAAGAGCCAGCTATTGGTTGGACTGACCATAATAATAAGCATTTGTACCTCTTATGATAATACAATTATTTTGCTTAGTGCAATTTGTTTTTGTTTTTGTTTTTTGGTGTGGGGTGGGGAGGGTGCGATTGCACCATCTGCACCCCCACTCCGTCCCTTCAGTAATGTTATACTTCATACTCGGTTTAGCATATTGGTTTATTACTCAACGATATGATTTTTGTGAATAGTGGTGAAATTCCGAGACGTGAACACTCCTTTCTTGGCCCCTTGGCTGCAAAGAAGTAAATAGTGAAATTCCACCCATAAATCAATCATAATTGGCATACCACATGGTGGTGCATGGTGAAAATTTGCCAAAATATTGCACCGATCGCTGCTTATTGCATAAGCACAATCGAACCATTGTTATGCAGTTTTGGTTTTGGAAAACACATCCCAGAAAAATATATTTGTAAAAAGACTGCCAGAACAATCAGCAAGAATTATATATACAAAATTTTTATTACAAAATCTGTTGACAAAAACATAATTCAACAGCTAATTTCTTGTTTGTACAAATGCTATATGACATACCCCAACCCATCTCGTTAATATACCAAAATTAGAGTGATTTTCAAACCAATTGTAGTGCCATCTCTCTTTCACTGTGATTTCAATCTAGTCTTCTGGTGAGAATTTTTACAACTGGCATAGGGGCCTAGTCATATATAAGGGATTATTTTTAACAATTTTAAATTATTAATGTTCAGTTTTACATAAAGATAAATACCGTACTATCAATCCAGATTTTTATTTATGCATTGCTTTTTAGAATAAAGGGTGGAGCACTTATAGATCGGGTGCCCTGGAGGTCGGGGCTCAGGTTCAATGAATCTGCGGTAGTTATGCCACTGCTATTTAGATCACATCTACGACTACATCGTTTATCCAAATTGGCTTTATATTCAACATCAGCCTTGTACTCCTTGGAAAGTATTGCTAACTATCTTTATTTTTTTTATTTTGGTGGTCGGGAAATCAATGTCCCTCTCTTATTGACTGGAGACCATTTTAAATGTCTTGGATACATTACTAGAATCCCTACGAAATTGAGATGTTACACGCATTGCATACGCACCCATAACAAACTATCAGGATTATTTACATTATTCCCTTTTTATCAGGTATTAAGTTACCTCCGACAGCAATTGAAAACTGTGTATGTTACTACAGAAGGAGTCGGCTATGAGTTACGTGTCCTTTGTCATGCCTGTGATCCTACGCTGCGACCGCTGCATAAACTTGAGGAATGTTTGAAAAAAGATAGTGTGCCATGTGGAAAAAGAAAGTCAGTTGCAACGACTCGTATCAGACGACTCTTTTCAACAGGTTTGTATAAGAATATAACTTGTTTATGAAAATGGTTTTATATTTTATATATAACGGTCGCTAAGATAATGATTTATGTTCTGTTGAATAAAGGAAACATTTAAAATTTAAAATAAATAATATTTCATCTATAAAGTAAGTCAGAATTCTCTACAAAGCTACAGGTTTCATTAATTAAAATGAATGTGATTACAACTGTATGTATCAGTAATGGATGCGGTGGATGTAACAAACGAATATTCAAATTATAATTTGGGGAACACTCTAACATAACCCTTCCTCTTGGATTTATTTATTTATTTGTGCTTCCCACACCCGCCAAAAACCTTTTTGACTCCACCTCTAATGTATTCAATTCTATATTTTATTTTGGTGGAATAGACAACTCGGAGGTCATAATGCTAAATGAGGACTGTCGTTATATATGGAAATGAATATCTCAAATTATTAATCTTAAAAGCCGAAAATGTTATGATTTTGCTCTA